AAGATTTTGCCTTTTGTCGGCATTTTTTACTTTATTTGTGTAAAGATGACAATCCTCTAATAGTTGCATTAAGTCGAAAAGGGCCCTTAGAAATAAAAAAAAACTGATTTTTGATAGTAATAACAGTACAGCCACTTTTTCAACTGTGGGAATGTTTATGGTAGACCTCTGTTGAGTCTCATTCAGAGAAATTCTAGCCAATAGCGGGTTGTTCACGAAATACTCTCAGYGTATGAGTCCATGATAAAATTTGTTGACCAACATCAAGCAAAACAGTTTGTAATGGGAAAATCACTTATATTTGTAACTCGTACGCCGGCAGCAGCAAGTGCTGATGAAGCCTGTAGAGATGATGCAAAGATGCACTTGGCGAATGAATCAAGTTCTTACTAGCAAACTACTAACGGAACATAGTATATATTTTGATAACTTGTTATCAGCCAGTAACTGCTATGCGATGTAATACAATTGAGTTACAGAGCTACTGGTATAATAGGAGATAATCATAGTTATAGAACAAAYGGTGTCTACTAAAAACCAAAAAAGCAATGAGGAAAACAAGTTCCATAGCAGAATATGCCTATCGCTTTGACAAAAATAATAAGGTGACCATGGGAACAAATTTTGACTATATAGAAAAAGCCTTAAGAAAAACGAGTTTCGATATAACCAGACTATTTATAAAACATAACCGTAATAAAGGCTTAGCCTACCAAATAGATTAATTTATTAGCTTAAATTTTGGGCATCTATCAGAGAAGAACGCAGAATAACTCTTACTAATAGGTGCTATTTCGAAATAGGTGCAATTTAGAAGTTAATTACAATTTCGACGAACAAAGATCAAATTCTACAAGTCACTCRTCACCTCCGTCCAGCCATAAGCTRCAGAGMCATTGACGATTGACATAGTTCAGCGAATTAAGAGACCGCGGYTGTRATGACTTGGACATGTCGTCCGAAAGGATGAAAACCCTTTCGCTSTGAGAGTATTCGATTCAGTAGCCGCTGGTGGAAGCTGAGAAAGCGGAAGACGTCCACTCCCCTAGAAAGACCAGCAGGAGAATGATCTGGCTACAATTGGWATCTCAAATTGCCGACAAATACCTTATAGACTTAGCGCTTTGTTATGCAAAGTTGACAATACACGCCCAAAGGCTCAATTGTTAGTCAGACGGTGCATAACTTCTTCCTTCATCTTCAATAGTTGGCACACTATCGAAAAGAAACGATCATAATCCTGAATGCTTAACAAATGAAASGATGTTTCATACTTCACCTTCCCTTCTAGGTAAAGATATCAATTTTTCTTTATTTAACAAAGTATTTTTTGTTTCTTCTATTAAACTTTTTATTTGGAAATGTATCAGCAATAAATTCAATTTCCAAAAAGCGGATTTGATTTGGGTGTTTTAACGGCCTTCAATCTTAATATTTGCAGATTAAAGGCCTTTTCTCAGTTAAATTTAAGGTAAATATATAATGCTCCAACAAAGGCCAAATGAAAAGTAGCCGCGAACTCAACGAAGTCGCCAGTTTATGAATTGGATTWAGATATAAACTATGACCAATCTATAAAAACTCAAAGCTGGGCATTTCACTCAAATAAAATTTTATTTTAAACTCACAATGAAGGAACTTTTTCACACAATCTAATGTAAATATTCAGATTTACTTCAAAATTTAACTCAATTTTCAACTCGAACTTTGTCAGAAAACCATTGTCGAAATCTGAAACTAAGCCCAAAGTCACCTGAAACGTAAAATTCAAATTCTAGTATAAACTCAAACCAGTTCAGTCCAAAATTTAATCTTTAATTTACATTCAAACTTAAAATCCTTACCAAAAATCATTTCTGAAGCCCAAACTTCAAAGTCAGCTAAAGCGTAAAATTTAACCTCATACACAAATTCAGGCTTCAAATTGAATGTAAACTGAAAGGCAAAACTATTTAATTTTACTCATCAAACTTCAATRTAACCCCAAAATACTAATTTAACTCGATAATTAACTCAATCATACTCAATTAAAATTTAAGTCCAACTCAAAAAAAAAAATTGGTTTTTACTCCATTTGCAACTGTATCCAATCTGTTTATCATTTTGAAGAAAAACTCAATTATTATGCACATTCAAAACTATACTCAAACACAAGTTAAAATTAAGAGCCACACTCAAAGTTTTACACAAGCATAGAGGAAACTAAAAAGCTATGTAGCTTAAAAAAGTTTTAATAAAAAAATCTCAGCGAAACCGAAATTTAAACTCAACATTTCTTYCTCATTAAAAATAAAACTCAATTTGAGCAAATAGTAACATTGAGCTTTTTCTTCATTGAGCTGTTTAACTAAAGTAAATTTGGTTTAATTACATATTATTATATAAGAATTCAGACTAAATTTCCGAAGCTTACTTTATGTGGATAAACCGTTATGAGCGCTGTGACGTAAATTTTCTATATATTATTTATATTTTAATATTTAGCAAATTTTTAATTGCAGCAAAGATACTCACATTAAATGATTAGCCACCAAACACGCCTCCATAACGTTGCAAATGCGCATGTGTGTTGCTGAATCGAGTTCCGAATGTCCACATTGATATTTGCACTATTTTTTTCAAACACTATTTCTGCACTAGATAGAATTTTAACTATTTTGCACTTAAATTAAACAAKTTGTGAACACTGCAGCCTAACAATTTCACCCAAAATGCATCACAAATATTTTTTGCTTAATTTATTTCGCTATGACTTATGTGCTTGCCAATGTTTTTTTTTTTGCATGAAACTTATCTAACTCACTTCAATTACGAGCTTCAGTGAACATATTTTCCTACAACACTTATTAGCCGCTGCTCAATTGTTTGCACTCATGTCTATTTTTYGCCGTAATTATGTCTCAATACATCGGCAAGTCTACTCAATCTAAATTTATGCGCAMATTTCGTATTTTAAGCATCGCTATTTCGCCGAGTATTCGCTTTCAATTGAAATTCCTTGTTTATTGGCACTTGTGCGCGCCTGTGGGCGGCTAAATGACGCTGCTTATGCAGCCACGGCAGTAAAAGTAAACCGATAAATTTTTATCAAAGCGAGCWGCGTAAAAATATTGTCGATTAAATTTACGACCGCCACAAAATATAACGGCTTTGCATTTGAAATTCGTAGCAACGATAATTTGGCATTTTATTGGCTTTTTCACCTTTGATAGCTGTTCGAGTTGTTGGTGTTTGTGGCTGTCGTTTATTGTTCGTTCTTGTTGCTGTTGCTTATTGTTTTCCAGACATAATATTTATGAGTTATTTTTATGCGCGCTCGAATTTGCGATAGCCCGCAAACATCTAAGTACAAATATGCACGTGTGAATGCACGTGCAGACCGTTAGGTGGTTGTTTGMGTTATGTATCTATATTTTTGAATTGCTGCAAAGAAAGAGAAGAAGTGTATTATTGATGGTATATATTTAGGCGCTATGCGGTTGCAAATTTCGTTTAGTCTAATAGCCATATTTTTTATTAATAAAATTCAATACATTGTGGTTTTTTATTAAAAAAAAAACAAAATATTAGTATGTATATCAGTCATCTTTCTATCTCATCCTACCACGCTTCAACTCAAATTCTTACTCTAACTCCAACTCTGTCTCTAACTCAAACTCTAACTCAAACTTTAACTCTAACTCAAACTTTAACTCTAACTCTAACTGCAACTCTTTCTCTAACTCTAAATCTAACTCTAACTCTAACTCTAACTCTAACTCTAACTCTAACTCTAAATCTAACTCTAGCTCTCAGCATAACTTTTAAAATGATTAAAAAATGAAGTTAGGTGGCAACCCCCACTACTTTAATAATATTTTTCGCAGTTATTCGTAGACGAAAGTACTATTCTGCTTACCAACGTTATTAAAGATGTGACAATACCAATTTAATGTATACTTCATTTAAAACCAGTGAGATACTGTACAATTTAATAGTATGTACATATGTATATGTTATACTAATGTAATAAAAAAAATTAGTTATGTGGCAACTCCTTTATATAATACTTTGTAACACATGTTGGTAAATATATTTCTGTGC